TATAGTTAAACCTGGCACACAATCTGGATCATTGCTAAATGGTTATGCAATTAATTTGGAAAAAATGTGTTCATCCAGTGAAGGACACTGCAGTTAGATTAGGTGTTGCCTTCACTGCCCTCTTGTGGAGAAAAGCACATGTTTGCCTAGAGGGCTTCCTTCATCCCCCCATGGCTGATCCATTCTGATGGACATCTATGACTTTCTATGGGTCTGTCTGTGAGCGTCTGCCTCCGTATGACAGAACAAGCCTCAACGAGGCCTGATTTTGTCATCCTAGATCACACAAAAAGAGCTGGTTATGCTCAAAGCCGTCAGCAATAACAAACAGATAAACAACCATAAAGGACTGGCTGTCTGCTCCATCCCACTGGTCAACCATCAGGAGGACGTCTGGCTCCGGCTCAGATCCTTACCTCTGTGAGCAGCCCTCCACCGCAGCCCACGTCCAGGATCCTCAGCCCCGCCAGCGGTTGTCCAGGATGACGCTCTCTCTGCACGTTCAACAGATTATCTCTGCAAGATAATAGCGCCATCAACATTTAACCTCCAAAGTCAAATGATTTCTAATGAAGCTGATATGACTTTTAACAAATAGTGAAGCCTAAATTTAAACCCCAAAAATTAGTGTTTAAAAATGACAGCGACTTGGAGGAGGAAAAACTGTGCCATGGCTCTGCTGCTTCCTGATGCATCATCATCATCATCATCATCCTCAGTAAGGTCCCAAAGCTGCTTCAGTCTGAGCGAATGAGTCCAGCTGTCGCTCCAACCCCGCCTCGCACATTTTATCATATTAAAGACACCAAAATAGGTTTTTTTGAAAGATTTTATTTTAAACACAAATACCAAATAATAAGGAAGAAGACTTTTTTTGTTAGGGCTGGAATATGAATCATATTTTAAACTCGATTATGATTCTAAAAATGAAATAATGGATTATTTTGCTCCTGTATAGCTCACTCTTGTGCCGTTTTCTGTTGCTGATCCAGCGGCAGTCGTATCGCATACCCTCTGCTGTGGATTCCTTAATCAAGAGGATATTTTTCGTCTTTGGTCTAAAGACTAACTCTGGCTGATGTCGCATGAAAATGTTGGATGTGATGGAACTGAGCTGCAGCAGCAGCGTTTCCTCCAAACTGTTTCCATGCTGGTCAGAGTGCATATCGCTTCTCTGGTTTTAATCCAAATGATCAGGGAAAGCCCAAAAACTCAGAGGAAATTATCTGTAAACGTCTTAAATAAGCACTGGTCAAACCTGAAGCAACAGCTGGTTGATGCCTCGAGTCGCGGCGCAGCTGCTGGGTGACATCGTCTTCTGGTGCAGAGATTTAACAGAGATTATATTTCATTTCAAATATAATTTCTTTATTAGCTTCGTTCAGTTGAGGATCACAGCCTCCTTCAGAGAAGTTAACTCGTGGATCAACAGGCTGCTGCATGCGTCACACTTCACTGCCGTTTGGCTGCTGATGCTTTGCGTCGTAGTTCTGTGGGACTGCGACGGTTCATCCAGGCAGAATCAAAGCTATCGCTGGTTAGAGAATAAAGGAAGAACCCGTCTGGAAAGAACAGTCACTGCAGTCGTTAGGCAAATCCTTTCCAGTCCCTCCCTTTTTTTTATTTTTTATTATCAAGTATTACTTGCACCCACCTGGCTTTCTAGGGGGAAACGCTGTCAAAGCAAAACTTCACTTTACGTCTCTCCCACTGGAGAAATTATTCTGATAACATTGTTTAACAGAATTGTTTATTTTCCCCCAGCTTTTATCATCATTACACTGTCACAGAGCTATCATTACACGCCGCACAGAAGAACCGCTCCCCCCTCACCTAACGCAAACACCTGTGGACGCGCCCACTTTTTTTTCTGTCTTTTATTTTATTTTGCAAAGTTAAACAGGCTGTCTAAAACTCAGGTCATATGTTTTTCATCAATAACCTTATACTGCGTCTAAAATGGCCAAAGAGGCTGACTACGGGTTAGCCAAAGGGACAAAAAGGCTTACCTTTGACTCTTTAATTATTCATGATTAATGCATTAATGTTGACATCCCTAATATGTATATATATAATAAAATTAAATACCTTTTATTTAGCTCGACTGAGGAAAGAGCATCTCTTTGGGTTGGGAACTTTGCAGACCCATTATATACAAATCTTTGTAGTCCCGTTATATGCCTTTACCAAAAAGACCAACGTTCAGCTGGTGATGATAAAATAAAGCTGTATAATCCAAGCGTCCTTCCTTATGGTTTTTTAATCTTCCTTTTTGAGCCTAAATAGATCCTCAGCACAGGATGAGCTATGAGCTTAAATAGACAGACTGCCGCCATCTACTGGTAATAATGCTGAACTACCAGAAAGCCACATGGTGAACATTAAAAAAAAATTCCGGTTTTTAACACTTTTAGGCCCTTTTCTGTAGTGTCCAGGATGAAATCGAATGATTTCATCCTGGACAATCGTCAAAATTTTGGTGTCGATCATTCGATTTCATCCTGGACACTACAGAAAAGGGGCTAAAAGTGTTAAAAACCGGAATTTTCCTTTAAGGGCTGGTTTATGCTTGGAAACCATCTGCATGTGTGTCGCAGTGAACGCAGATATGCCCCGCCCCTTCCGCAGACACTCTGCTGCACCTCTCCAAAATTGTAGGTGACCGTAAACAGGAGGCCTCTGGTTGGTCAAATCTACATCTGCTCTACACTATGCGTATTTCCTGTTTGCTACCTTACTGACTTGTTTTGTTTGTATTATCGCCATTGTGGAAAAAGACTTGTGAAGATGGACCGGCTAGAAGAGCAAGGTGCGGGAGAACGCTGGAACCCTTTTTCCACTTTGATCCCCGCTCTTCTACCCCCTCATGTCCCTAGATTTTCGCACAAACCTGCCCCCACTTCCTCACCGCCTCGGCCGTATCTAGACCCACAGATTGTTCCTGATTGTCTCTCTTGCGTGGTGGAATAACTTAGCACAGACCACGCTTCAATATTGGGCAAAAATCAAAACTATCTGAGTCAAGCTCACTGCGACACACTGCTGCGGGAGGATAACCAGCCCTTAAGGCAGCTACCACAGAGGCGAGAAACTCCACTTCTCAAGGGCCGCTATTGTGCTACCATTAGATCCATCCTTGGTCCAACACACCTGAATCGCAGCACAGTGACGTAAACCCAGTCCCATAATTTTCTTAAATTAAANCGCAGCACAGTGACGTAAACCCAGTCCCATAATTTTCTTAAATTAAACATAAATAGAAAGGTTTTATTTACCAACACAATGAGCAAAAACAAAGCTTAAAAAAAGTAACAATATGGAAGTAAATTTGTGTCGCTGGGATTTTAATTAAAAATGCCACTGAAATGTTTATGTTGTTTTTTTGTACTTACTGTTTCAGTGTTAAAATATATTCAGAACACATCATCTGGCTCTATTTCACTGTCTTAAATTTGGGGTCTAAATTCAGTGTAAAAAGGGAAGGGTTACTTCAGGTCACAGACATTATCAATGGATTGTGGCGTCCAACACCCAGCCAATCCCGTTACGTTTTCTTAGTCACGTGACGTGACGCTTGTGGCGCTCATACTGTAGGTAAACCAGCATCACGGGGCCAATCATGCAAGCTAACGCTAACTCAACTGTGAGTTTATTACTTTCATTTTTCTGTAGTTGAGTTAGCGTTAGCTAGCATGACCGGTTGGTTGCTGGTTTTCCTTCCGTATGAAGGCACCGCAAGCGTCACGTGACTAAGAAAACGTAACGGGATTGGCTGGGTGTTGGACGCCACAATCCATTGCTAATGTCTGTGACCTGAAGTAACCCTTCCCTTTTTACACTGAATTTAGACGCCGAATTTAAGACAGTGAAATAGAACCAGTTGAATCTCAGGAGGCTGAAAATATTGAGTTTGAATTTGTAAAGGTAAAATTTTTTTATATGCAGATTTCTTTAACACTGAAAAATAAGTATTTAAACTGTAATCACTTTGAAATAGTAATGTGAATTTTTAGCTTGAAGAGAAAATAACAAATGAAATTTCAGCTGTGTAGAAATAATGACAATGAATTTTTTTTTAGGTCAAAAATGTGTTCTGAAGATATTCTAACACTGAAACAGTAAGTACAAACATACAACATTTAAATTTCAGTCACATTTTTAATTCAAATCCCAGCGACACAGATTTACTTCCATATAACAAGCACTATGCCAGCAGGACCCTATCATAAAAAGGCTGTATGCAAGCAGAGTGAGGTCACACAGAGGTCTCCAGCTTTCCCGACCTTTAAATGCTTCAGTTTGGAGCATTACCGCCTCATTACCCTTCCAATCCATACACGGTGTTTCCTGTTGTAATTACAGATGGAGGCGCATTATGCTTCCAATTTGCTGAGTGGCTCAGTGTGTGTGATTTGAAAATAGAAAGAAGGGAGTATCTCACCGTACAAAAGGCACCCTGAGGTCATTCATGGCATGAAGAGCAGCAAAGTCTCCTTCTTCATCCCACCACTTGTTGGCCATCAACTGGAACCTCTTCACCTCACCGGGGTCCACGGTGGTGTGGGACGCCGACCTGCAGCCGTCATCAACATGTCAAAGAAAATGAAACGCAGCGACCTATTGTCGTTTCTAAAGCAGAGTGAAATCAATGTGGGTGTTGTCATGGAAGCATCTAGCAATCTATAGTAGCTTAAACTGTATTTCACAGAGAAATATAAAGATACTGATTTCCAATCTGAAAGCCTTTTTTTTTTATACCAATAACACCTTTAAAAATGTGCAATGTCTTTGATTACTTATGACTAATGTCACTTAAAGCTTAGTTTGAGTTTTATTGGTTTTATGAAAAGTTAAAATGTCAACTGGTTTATTTGAATTAACAATCCAGTGTATGTTAATCTATCAAAAATCAGTCCCTCCCTCACATTTAGCCAATTTTTATATATTTTGAGTGGGATGTTTATCCTGAAGTGGTGATGTTCACCGGCGCGTGGAGCCCATAGACTCTATGGGTGTGCGTCTCGTTTCAAGAAAGTCATGTGACCGATCCAGGAGTTGTTTCTAACTGACTGACTCACTAAACTGTGTTTCAAAACTTATCTGTTAACATGATGCATCTGCTGAAAAAAAATTGTCTCATCTTTTGCGGTTTATTATTAAAATGATCAAGAATTTTGGAGCAGCCTAAAAGGAATAGGAACGTTTCAGCCGTTGCATTTTTTATTTTCTGGTTGTGTTATAGTTTTCCTCTCAGTAATCACTCAACTTATCTGAATAAAACTTAATTTCAAATTGACTCTTTAGTTTATTTACTGTTTTTACTGTAATTATTGTTTTAAAAACATGATTTAAAATCCTTGTCCACAAGCATCCTCATTCACATTTTCCCCTAAATTATCACCTTATGATAGGTTATATGTTCACATTATTTATTGGCTGCATCTAAAAATATCAAAGATATTTTCAATTTAAATATAGATATGAAACAATACCATATAACCTAAAAAAACTTAAATTATATCATTGTACTACAAGGTCATCAGATCAGTTTAGTCTTTCAGATAAGCTGCCTGTAGTGTCTTTAAATGTCCAGCAGGTGTCAGTATTCTGTCAGACAGCATCAATACAGTTTGGAAATGAAAAGCTTCCAGCTGCCTCATTAACTCATCACTAGGGTCTGGTTTCTTTATTCTGGTATTGCTCAGTCCAGAAAAATATAGTTTGCTTCTTGGAATAGTTTTATTAAGTTTATTTTATCAGCAAAGGGAAAAATCTAATAAAAAGTTGTTTAGTTACAGTGATATGCAGATGAGTTATAACCCTTTAACTACTGTATAAAGTTGTTACCCCCTAACAAAGCTTTAAATCTGATTCCACAAGAGCCAGAAATAGTTTTCAGTGGAAAATGTTCTCTTTGAAAGGTAACCTTGTGAAGCCAATGCCCTGCTAAAGTAATGCAGTAGATCCGCAGCAGGATGGCTCCATTCCGCAGCATCCTGCCCTGCAGCGGTTTACTGGAACACACCGGGGCCCACCAGCCCTTAGGTTCTGCTAAGCACCTGGTTTGCTGCATCTCTGCACAGGCGGCCCTCCGCTGCCTCCACACCGCAGCTCCGCTGGAAAAGCCCCGAACCTCCGACCTCTGGATGGCGCCGCTGACAGGCGACACTTTCAGGCCCCTCAACCCAAACAGGAGACGGCCGAACTTGTTGGAGTACATCTCACAGAACCCGTCGGCTGTAGCTCTTCTTCTTCTTGGATTTATTGGTGGTTGGCAACAAACTTTTAGTAGCATTACCGCCACTTACTGGTATGGAGTGTGGTTGATGATGGTGCTCTTCTTCTCCTTTTTTTTTTTAATAACTTTATTTGGAACAGTAAGAATGACAAACTCAAACTCAGTATAATAAAGCGCAACATATAGTATTAGTCAATCATACCTCCTAACACTTTTCTTAATTTTTTTTTCTTTCAAGTTGCGAGGTAAACAGATGTTAAGTTTATGCAATACACTTCAGAAAAAGAGAAAAACGAAAACCAAGGATGTTCTTCTTCTTCTTCTTGTGAGGATTTATGGTGGTTGGCAAAGTAGTTAAAAGTGCATTACCGCCACCAACTGATAAGGAGTTAAACAAGGAAATAGGAAACAAGACTCACCGCCAGAAAAAAATAAAATAATATTTTCCGAACTGTTTAACTTAACCCAACATAATAAATAATCACATTCGGCCTCATAATTTCTAATTTAACAAACTTTTAGTAACATTACCGCCACTTACTGGTATGGAGTGTGGTTCATGATGGTCTATCTAATATTATAAAACAAAAAAAAAAAAAACTATGTATATATATATATATTTATATATTCAAAATGTTATAGAGACTTAGATTTATTTTGTCATTTTGTATACACAAGTGTAAATAAAAAGAAATGTCTTTTTTTAAAGTGCAGCCTGGATAAGGTGAGCAGCAGTGATAAAAAAAAAAACATTTTGATATAAAGTCACTATACTAGTTATGGAATGTGCATCAGGGTTTAGGGTGCTGTAGATGAAGTTATTCATCAGTTGTCGTTGAGCTGCTGCCTCCAGCTCCTGAAGCACTCACTTCTGCCTCAGGGGAGGAAGAGGACGACGCTGTGAGGATGGTAGCCCCCTGGATTGAAGAGGCTGATGTGGTTGAAGCAGCAATGGTGGCAATTTTTTTAACTTTATAGTTTTACTCAAAGATGTAATGACTGAGGTTTTGTTATTTTATTCTCTGCAGTAGCTATTAAGATGGGATCCCCGGTTAGACCAGGAGTCTGGAGCTGCTAAGATGAGAGCAGCTCCACTGGTCATACATCAAACTAGTGGCTTTTTATAATTATTTTGTTTTTTTTGGTTCCCCCACTTGGGGAAGTACTTCTTTAGTTGATCAAATTTGGCCCTGTGTAAATTTGTTTTAGATCAGCCACTGACCAAATAATTTCACCCATGGGGGAGAAACATCTTTTCCTCCATAGACTTGTTTAGCTTTAGTCTCACGACTTTAGGTTCAGGTATGATACTCAGAAGTAAGGGTTAGATAACAGACTATTGAGAAGAATCTGTAAGAGTTTGCGATTGAGTCACAATATATAATGGGCCACAAAATATTGTTTAACACTGGCCCAAGCCTCCATATAGATAAAAGTTATCTTTTGAGGCCTTTTATTTCTGCATCATCCACACACCTACTAGATACGCATCATCTAGTGTTGATAGTACAATAAATTACTAACAGTTTATTTACCCTAAATGTATCATGTGATTTATAGTGTAGTTTAAATTACACTAGAGTAAGCTGTAGTGAAGGAGCAACAAAGAAAATCACTTTTATACAAATACATTACAGTAAAATATTAGTAGCAAAGTATCTTTCTTAAATAAGTTACCTGAAACCAGATAAAAATACAATGAAATTTAAAGTAAATAGAATTCTGTAAATGTGTGTAACTATAAGCAGAAGCTCAATCTGAAAATATAAACTTTTACCTTCATATAGGATGTTTTTTTCTCTTATCTTCAGTACTGTTCTCCTTAAAACCTGACTGTTTCCTCTGCACACCCAAATTATCTTATTTTTAGAACAAATATTCATTCTGTTGGCAGATAATATTAACCTACTTAAATAAAGTTAAAAAACACTTATTTCAGAAAAGTTTTTTCTTATTTTTACATCAGCTTTTGCCGTGGTTTAAAGTTCAGCCTAATAAATTGAACGTCTTATTTTACACCAGAATTATTTTTGATTTTAACTTTTCACAGCCAACAAGCTGAACTTCACTGACCACCATCCAATCACATCCCTAATGATCCTTAAAGTAAAAAGCTAAACCTTGATCCTGCTTAAAAAAAGCTATGAAATAAAATTTAAGACAAAACGAGGAAGAAACAGCTTTATTGGACATCATACAACAGTGTGACGGGAAAAGTTTGTTTTTAAAATGATACAAGTTCATGTTTTAGCTGATTTAACTGTGTAATGTTTTGCTCATCAGTCACGCTTAAAAAAAACCCAACAACCACAGCATATTTACAATAAAAGAAATGAATGAGGGGGGTGTTCACCTACACAACTGCCTCTATAATGAGACAAGCCTGCTCAACTCATGGAATTTTAAGCGGTTAAATACACAGATCGGCGTGTCCGCTGCGCTCCTCAGCGTTTGCTTCTACGCGACGGGGACGTCGACCTGGAAGAGAGGCGGATGGCGACGCATTAATTAATATTTACTAATTATAACTCGCACTACAGCTAACAGACAGATTCTCTCTTAGGAGACTAACGTTTGCCATGTGCAAAGCAACAAACAGATGAGGCTTAAAGGCAGAAACGGTCCAAGTTTCACTGAGGTTTGACAGATTAAGCCGTCATGAGCTCTGAATGGTTTTAGAGTGGATTTTAAAGCTCAGCACATTTATTCTGACAGTCCACATTTCTCTGAAAATGCTAATTAAAGTGAGACAAACAATAAACACAGAGTAAGAAGAGGGAATAAAAAACGAATACTACCTTGATCGTGACTTAGACTTGTGTTTGCGGCTTGCCTTCTTACCAGACTTGTGAGGTTTTTCCACCGACCTTGACCGGCTACGTTTGGATTTCTTGGATTTTTTTTCCTTGCTAACTTCGGGGCTGGGGGATCTACTGGAGTCGGAGTCTGAGCGCCTCTTGCTAGCCTTGCCGGAGCCCTTTTTGGAGCCTTTGCTATCTTGCCGGGAGCGCTTGTCGCTCTGCGAGTTTGTTAAGGAGTCGCTCTCCCTCCTTTTCTTTGCTTTGTCGTTCTCCTCCGTAGCAGAGTTTCCTTTTTCCTTCTCCTTGTCTTTAGATCTAGGTTTCTCTTTCTTTCTGTCGCCGTCTTTTTCTCTATCCTTGTCTTTATCCTTCTTTTTCTTATCTTTTTCATGGCTTCGGCTTCTGTCTCTCCTCCTCTCCCTGTCTCTGCTGGAGGCCTTTTGTTTGTGTTTACTGCTCCGGCTGTGACTGCTGTCCCTGCGCTCCCGGCTCCTCTTCCTCTCCTTATCCCTCCCTCTGTCTCTGCTGCGACTGCGGCTGTCTCTGCCCTTACCCCTGCCTCTATCCCTGGATCGAGATCTACTCCTGCGGCTCCTGTGTTCCCTGGAGACGCTGCGCTCCCTCTTGTGCCGACCCGATCGCTCTGCGCTGCTCCTCCTCCTGTCCCTCCCTTTCTCGCTACGGTGCCTGTGGGAGCTATGGCTCCGGCTGCGCCGCCGGGCCTTACGGGACGAGGAGCGACTGCGCCTCCTCTTCCTTTGCGGCGAAGAGGAGCGAGAGGAGCTACGAGAAGATGCTGAGGAAGACGAGGAGGTAGAGGAGGAGTGGGAGCTGCTGCGGCTGGAGGAGGAGTGGGAGCTGCTACTGCATCCATTGGCCGGGGATTCGCTGCCGCCTCGCCTCGGCGGCTCCTTCCCTCTGCCTGGATGCTTCCCTTCATCGCTGCGGGACCCACGCCTGTCTACCAAGGACTCTTGCTCCCTGTCGTTTACTTCCTGCTTATGTACATTTTCTAACTGACCCTCCTTGTATTCCCCCTTTTCTCTGCTTAATCTCTCCTTCGACACCTCCTCTGTAAAAAAACAAAAAAACACACTGTAAGGAAGACCTTTAGGTTTTATGAAGCTCTAGCAAATTGCTTTTTTTATCAGTCCCTTTTTTACATATAAAAAAGTGTTTATATAACCTCCTTTAACTTTCTGGTTTTAATTCTGTATGGCTCTACTGGTTATTAAAAGTGAAAAATTAAATCTGCCCTGGAAACACGTTTTAAAGCTTCTGGGGTTCCTCATTGATCAGTTTTGGGGTTCATGGCTGTTTACTTTATAAATGTGGCCTTTGTGCAGACAGAAGATTGGTCAAAAACTGAACTAAAGCCCTAACTGTAGTTTGGTTTAGGAAGTTAAACCTCTCATCAGTTTAGTTAATGCTCTAAAATCAACCAAATCAGCTTTATATATTCAGGGTTTTAAATTTCAGAGCTCTTCTTAGAAGCAACCTGGTTTAACACTTTATTATCATTAATAAAGATCTACAGAAATCAGCTCCTGTAAAGCTCTGTACTCTGGTTGATGCCAAACTTGCCTTCAGAGTTTTAAACTGTTAAGAAATTTGAAGCTGGTAAACCAAATATAAGGGTTGTGCAATTTGGTTCTAAAATCATAACAGCTTTTTTTTTTTTTTACTGTGTGATTTTATCCAGTTTCCTCCTCATTAATAAAAAAAAACTAACATTTTTTTTTAATCTATTTGTTAACAGAGTTAACTAATCGAAGACAACAGCTGGTTGAGTATCAGTCAGAGAGCAGCTAGCAAACACTTTGTTTTCATGGACTAAAATGCTCTTTAATTTCCAGATTTCTCTATTTGGTAGACCTGACTGCTTTATGAAAACAGTTTAAAACCAGCTCAGATCCACAGATCCACACACTAACTGTGACTCTCCCTTCACTTTAAGCTCATTACTGCCACCTAAAGGGCTGCTCATTAATCGTCAAGCCCAACTTCTATTTGCTTCACACTTTTCTAGACCTGAAAAATCCTGAAACCCATTTTAGTATGTAATCAAACCAAACTGGAAGCCTGTCTAGAAAAAAAGCTGCAACTCATTATGTCAGAAGTTTAAATGTCAATACCAGCTATACTATTGGATTAGGTTTTTTCCTTTTTATTGGGTTTCTTTAAACTAAAAAAAGGTTTGTACAG